GTTTTGGCCAAAGCGTTCTATTTTGATTTCATCTGACCATATGACATTCTCCCAAGCCTCTTCTGAATCATCCAAATGCTCTTTAGCAGACGGGCTTGAACATGTACTGGTTTAAGCAGGGGGACACGTCTGCCACTGCAGGATTTGAGTCCCTGGCGGTGTATTGCGTTATTGGTAACCTTGGTTACTTTGGTTCCAGCTCTCTGTAGGTCATTCACTGTGTGGTTCTGGGATTTTTGCTCACCATTCTTGTGCTCTTTTTGACCCTCTGGGGTGAGATCTTGTGTGGAGCCCCAGATTGAGGAAATTATCAGTTGCCTTGTACGTCTTCCACTTTTTAATAATTGCTCCCAGAGTTTACCTATTGCAGATTCAGTCTTCCCAGCCTCTACAATTTAGTTTCTTGTGTCCTTCGACAGCTCTTTGGTCTTGGCCATAGTGGAGTTTGGAGTGTGACTAAGCTTGTGGACAGGTGTCTTTTATACTGATAACGAGTTCAAACAGGTGCCATTAATACAGGTAACGAGTGAACTGGACGATATGGAAGTGAAGTTGGACTTGATTGATTTGTTTCGCACGACCTCTGTAAGTGGAAGTTATCGGGCTGTTTTTTGGTTTTTAAGGCAGACCCTTTTTTTTTTGTCATTTCGGTCCGCACTCCATACCAGTTGGTGGCGGTAATGCACCATTTTGCTGTTTGCCAACCGCCAGTAAACCCTATACAGAAGAAGAAGAAGGTAAGGCGTGGAGGACAGAGGATCCTCTAACAGAAGAGGTTACAGGTCTGTGAGAGCCAGAAATCTTGCTTGTTTGTAAGTGGCCAAATACTTATTTTACACCATAATTTGCAAATAAATTCTTTAAAAATCAGACAATGTGATTTTCTTGATTGTGATTTACAGGCCTCTCTCATCTTTTTTTTTTTTTCCAATTTTTATTTTTCAAATGCCAGACAGTCATAAAGCACATAGGTACACATAGAAAAGATAGTCTCTTCTTTCTCTCTCTTTTTTTTTTATAACATTCAGAAACATAAATAACATAGATGGCATGAATACCCCCCACTCCCTCATAATAATTTAAAGATGAATATGTTACAGAAAGATGGATTAACCCGTTCAAAAAACAAACAAACAAACAAACAAACAAAAACAAAACAAACAACAACAAAAATCAACAATAAAGTGCTAATAAAGTGCTAGTACTTATCCTTATAGATTAATATTACCATTAATCAACATTAGTTAATATTAATATTGGTGACTGCATGCTCCTCGGTCAAAGCAAATTAATAATGCTGGTATATCTTAAATGAAGTACTCTTATGAGGTGGTACTGCCAGCAATAGCAGGAAAATTTGTGCACGGTCATGTGTTAGACTACAAAAAGATTTCTCGTGCTGGTAACTTTTCTAAGTATTTAAGTAATGGTTTCCAGTAAGTAAAAAATCTATCCGACGAGCGTCTGAGGGAGAATTGTTTGTATCTTCTCCAATTTTAGAAGTCCAGACTTTGTTTAACGGTGGCTGAGATGATTTCCACAACAATAAGAGAAGCAAAGGCAATAAGGTTATTTTGGATAGCTGTGATACGAAGGTTATTTGGTGGTTTGCCAAAAATAGCAATATGTTGAGTCGGAGTTAGATTTATACCTAATATATCTGAAATTGTTTTGAAGAATTGATGCCAAAATTCATACAGCCTGGGGAACGCTCAAAACATGTGAGTAAGGTTGCAAGGTGTCTGTGAGCATCTATTACATTTATCTGGATATAATTTTAACATTTTTTCTTTACTGTAGTGTAGTAGGTGGAAAACTTAAATTGTATTAACTCATTCACTGCCAGCCATTGGCAGTGAATGAGTTAAACCCATTGACTCATTCACTGCAATTGACGGCTATAGACGTCAATGGCACACACATTGTGGCTAATAAAGTGGCCGCCCATTTTATTAAGTATGCCATTGTGCCTAGCCACTACAGCTGTTAACCTGTGTACCCAGCCAAATTATTAGGTACACCCATGGACAATTTATCAGGTACAGGCCTTGCTACTTTTTTAAGTGCCAATTCTCCTCAGCTTTTTTTAGCTAACCTATTTACTTTCAACCTTTTAGCACAGTAACAAACCCATTGCAGTTTCTCCAGAAATTGCATTGAGTAATATTTCTGCTTTTGTATGTACACACAGTTGTGGAAGGAATGTTTACCAGTGGCTTTACTAGAATCATTTAGTGAAAATCCAAGTAAACATAGTCCACAAAATCACAGTATCAAAGTGAAATGTTGCGAGGCCATAGTATAGGCTGTCTGTTGGCTGCCCACACTAAGCAGATCTAGCCCCACAGTGGGTCCAACAGTGCAGGGCATGGATGTGCCCTACATTTCACATCGGTACCAAGGCCCAGAATGTTGTTAAAAAATAAAATCAAACCAACTAAAAAACAAGAAGAGCTACTTTCAGCTATTCCCTCATTCACAAGGGGTTACAACAGGTAAGCCATTAGGTAACCCAGCTGCCTGCACATTTTCTTTGAAGTATACTATTTCTTGCACAACCCCCCAAGGGTTTTATGTCTGCTTCCAGGGAAAGAGACTTCAAAGGGTTCTTTCACATATTATGCAAGGTTCTATACCACTACACCATGAGCTCACTATTAAAAACAAACAACAAATTTTAAAAAACAGCCGTCATATCTTATCAAACGAGTTTGTCTTAGTAAGTGGAATGCAGCCTGATAACTTTATCTTAAGTTCTTTTACAGTATATCATAAGTATCCAGGTTAACTTCCTTTTACTAATGTTTTGAATCAGCTCCCTTTGCTCAGCTTCATATTCCAGGAAATGTAGTGATGGGGTTTGGTGTGTTTTCAATTTCTCTAGTCAACTTCATTTGGCCAATAGCAGTTTTTCCCCTTTCAGGGCCCTATGAGGGTTGCTGATAGTGAGCAAGCTCTCTATCAGTTGCCCACAGAAAACCCTCATGGGTAAGTTGTGAACTGCTGTTTTTCTTTTGACTAGTGATTTGAGTTACTGACCTTTAAAAAAAAAAATAATATTGCTGTCCGAATGACAGCAATATCAGGAAGAAGGAACACGAGAAGCTGGAGAAATACCAAGGGCTCAGAGAAGAGCTCGAAAGGATGTGGAGGGTGAAGGTAACGGTGGTCCCCGTGGTAATCGGAGCACTAGGTGCGGTGACTCCCAAGCTAGGCGAGTGGCTCCAGCAGATCCCGGG